AGCTTGGAGGGTTTTTTTTATCTCCTAGTCGAGCAGTCTCGACTGGAGCCTTCTTACTTGTTCTGTTTTTTTTTTTAAGTCTTCTCGCCAAAGTGCTTGTGTGGCCTTCGAGTTTTGCATTTTTTTTAGCAGCTAGCTTTTGCATTACATCTTCAACTTTGGGGACCTTAAGATTTTTTTTAATGTCCCTGGTACATGCGTACCTCCATGCCGGAGGATTATTTTATTTAAGTTTGATTTTGCCGCAATTCCATAGACTTGAAGCGCATATCTCATATATGGGGCTTAGTATTGATTTATAAATTTTTACTTTATTGTACAGTGACAATTTATTGGCCGGCTTAAGAAGCCCTGACACCTTTGCGCTTTTGGTCATTACAGTCTTTTTGACCATCGTGGTGTGCATGTTAAATGTAAGCCTTCTGTTTAACACTACGCCCAGATATTATTGTACGGATTCAACGCTTAAATAAATAAAAATAAAATACAAAATTAAATATAAAAAAAGTTTTCATTTCATGTTAGCTAATAAAAAATATAATAATAATTAATGTTAATTAATAAAAAATATACAAAAATATAAGTTTTTATTCTTAAAGTTCGCAATCTCTGTGCAATAGCACTGTGAACCATTTAACTCGAGATCATTTCGAACTCTTGTGAGACGAACTCCTATCTTTTATTTTTGCGTTTAATTTTTCTACTGATAAGTAGGTGTAAGCTTGTTCAACATTATCTAACATTCATATCCATTCATGATATCGCTCCAATAACACTTGTTTCCCCTACAACTCACCGTTACAGTAATCACAGTACATTAGGTTCCACGGAATTGCTCAAAAATTATATGTTAAATTGAAGAAAAAAAGTATAACATACTAAATTTATCAATCGTAACACAGATTACTAGTGGGGAATGCCTGACTTGTAAATACCCTGCAGCCGAATAGGTTTATTTTTGAAAACATTATATCATTGAGTCAGTCATATGTGTATAATGTAGTCGATATCTGATACACTTATATTACCAATAATTAATCTGAGATACAAGGTCGTTAATCGAGTGAAAAGAAGCTCTGAGTGCTTCTTTATAAATATATAAAAATAAAGTAACTCTACCTAGAGAACAACGTACAAATGTGCTTAATCAACTAACAATTTTCAAAATATGTACTGCTTGTAAATTTCAAATATAGATACATTCTATATGCAGATATTCCCATTTTCTTATATCTATAGCTATTCAACTTAAGAATAAATATATCTATAGCTAACTATATTCAAGTTGGGAATAATTATCATATCTATAGCCAACTGTTCAACTATCCTATATTATGTCTATCTAACTTCGAGACAAACTTTAGCAAATCTAATCAAGTTTTCAAGCATTTCAAACTCTAGTAATCGTAAGTTATACCATTTATATTGACTTTCAGTGATTCATTCGCTTTGCTCAGTATTTCAAATTGTTAACATCGTAGACTTCCTTGGTGCTGCACAGGAATTTATATTGGGGATTGACTCCAGTTGTGCACTTGCTGGCCGGTGCGGAGCAGGAGTTGTAGATCTTGACGTCAATTATATTTGTTGTGGCATAGTTGCAGGCCATGAGGAAGGCCTTGTAGGACTGGCCCTTGACCGAATAGGTGGAGACAGCGCAGCCAACGTGCGTATTGCGATCGGCGACCAAGACGGTGAAGTGGCCAATGGTGGGGCCTTTGTAGTTGGCTGGGAAGGAATCGATGTGGGGCTGCTTCGCATTGGAGACCTCGTTGTACCACATGTCCACGGCGCTGATGGCATTGGCGGTTGTGTTCAGCGGATTGAAGTAGCCGATCCAAGCCAGATTCTGGCCAGCCCATTCGAAGCTGTCCGTCTTGTGGCAGGCGTCGTGACGCATCTCACAGCTTCTCACATTGAGGGAGGCCAAATAGGCCAGCTCGTCATTCCACTGCATGGTGGCCATGCGGCAGGCGGGACTCAGTTTGCTCTCCCCGCCGCCGGCAATGAAATTACGATACTCATTGTGCTTGTCCACGATCACGTTCCTCTCGGCAGCCGAGAGGTTGACCAAAGCTCTGTCGCTGGGACAAGCCGAGCCCCAAGCCTGACGATAACATTGTTATAAATAGAGCCGCAAACGTTTCATTCCCATTCGCAGTCACACTCACCCCATTGTTGTTGCAGCCAATGTTCTTGCTGTTGCCGCAGCTCTTCTTGCAATAGTCCGTGCCACAGGCGACGCCCAGCAGCAGAGCCACAACTGTTATAGCGAGGATATTCCGCATGTCTAGCATGAATCTCAACTGTTGGCGGCACTGGGAGGGCTCATTGCTTTTATGCTCATTGCGGGCTCTGAAGTTCTTTATCTCAATCTACACACATGCATACGCACACAGCCTCATACCATATAGCTGGCGTAACAATTGATCAAATATTTATCACAGCGTTGACTCAGCTCTCTGTTCTCGCCAAGATGTGTAAAGTCTAATTGCTAAATGGAACTCAGTACGGCGGACATACAATTAAAGACGTCATTAGCAGCCGCAGATAATGTACTCTGATAATTAAACAAATTCTCCCCCCAGAAGAATGGAGCAGACGTATTATGAAGAAACTGCTGGATGCAGGGCGAGATGGCAAAGAAACGGTGAGGAGAGAGTACGGCGGACACGTGCCACCGTTACATTTGCTTGGCCAGCGCAAATGTTGACCATATCGAAACGCTTAACACTAGGAAAAATTGAATGCAGTAAAATTCCAATAAAACTTGTTAAAACACTCAAAGGTGAAGGAATCTGATCTTTATAGAATCTAAGGCTGATGTCAGAGTGGCTGCGATAAGCGATGCGATGCTACATATAAGCGATAACTATCGCAGCGATGCCATGACAGAGTGAAAGCTATCCGCAAAGAGAGAAACATTGCGAGTGCTCAAATTTTAGTCTTACTCGCAATGTTTTCATGGAATGGAGGTCTTACAGATGTCCAATAATTTTAGCAAAGCCTTGCCCCTTAAGTCTTCTCAATGGTCTGGCGGAAAGTAATCCTCTTGCGAGTAGGTTGTGGTGTCTCAGCAGTCTTTCACTGTACCTGCTTGTGTGCATGCCAATCTGCTCTTCGACCGTGTGCAGCTTTAGGTCTTTGTGGAGTGTGGAGCCACGCACGTACCAGGGTCAGCTTGTTATCTACTCCATTCTGCAGTACTTGTATTCGTTTGTAGTTGGATTTCGCAGCAATCCCCCGAATCTGCACTCCATAAAGCCATATAGGCTAAATGCAATGAACATTTTTTTTTCTTTTGCATCTCAGTTGCAGTTGCAGTTGCAGTTGCAGCAGTCTAGTTTTTTTTTTCTTGGCTGCAGCTTTGAGGTGTGGCGCTTGTCCAAGATGATGATTTTTTTTTTTAAGTAAGGAGGCTTCAGTCGAGACTGCTCGACTAGGAGATACCCTGAACCCTCTAAGCTGATATTCTACTCATTCTGCACTTATTTTATGCACATGCATTTACACGCAAGTATAGTGTCTTTTAATGCTTAAATTTGTTGTCATTATTTCACTTTTTTTTTTCAGCACGTCGTAATATCCGGTGAATGACTCAAAAATATGAAAAAAGTCGTCGGTATAAGCGGATTGTCGTTAAAAACGGAGACGTACTAAGCGGAGGCTCTTTCATATAAGTTTGTATGGGGAGCAACCAAGACATCGAATTTTCGTCGACATAACCGGTTGGACGCTTTAAGCAGAGTCGTTATAACCGGATTCCACTGAATGAATATTTATCAGTGATCACTGATCAGTACACAAATGCTGCTAAGACAGAGAGAGAGAGAGAGAGAGAAAGAGAGTGAGAGACAATCTGCAATGCCGACGTCACAAATGTTTCTACATGTTATTGAAATAAATTTATTTTAAAACATATTACAAACATAGCAACCGTAAAAGAAATCAACAAATTTGTTTTTTTTTTTTTTTTTGCTCCTTCTGGTTAAAGCGTCCTCCGGGTATAGCGACGTAAAATCGTCGGTCCCTTGAGTGTCGCTATAACCGGACTCCAATGTATTTAAAACTTATACATTTAACCAAATGAAATGTTGTTAACATCGTAGACTTCCTTGGAGCTGCATAAGAATTTATATTCGGGATTGACTCCAGTGGTGCACTTGGTTGCCGGTTTAGAGCAGGTGTCGTATACCTTGACACCATACAGGTTGTTTGTTGCATAGTTGCAGGCGATGAGGAAGACCTTGTAGAAGTTACCCCCAGACGAATAGGTGGAGGCGGCGCAGCCAACGTGCGTATTGCGATCGGCGGCCATGACGGTGACATGGCCAATAACAGGTCCATTGTAGACGGCGGGGAAGGACGTGACGATGTTCTTGTTGACGTGGGGTAATTCGTTGTACCACATTTTAAAGCACACTGAAGTTTTGTCCGTTACATTCAGTACTCCGTTATAGCTGACCCAAGCCAAATTCTGGCCGGAGTACTGAAAGGCTGGCGTGTTGTGGCAGTTGTCGTGGGTCATTGTACAGGTCTTGACGTTAAGGGATGCCAGATAGGCTAGCTCATCGTCCCACTGCATGGTGGCCATCCGACAAGCCGCTGGCAGTCTATTGCCACTGCCGCCGGCAATGGTGTTTCGGTATTCATTGTGATATCTCAAAATCACTTTCTTCTCGGCCGCCGAAAGGGAGACCAAAGCCCTGTCCTTCGGGCATGAGGCTTTCCAGTCCTATAAGCAAAATGACAATATTGATAGACCCAAAGGTAATTGCTTTATGCGATTCACGCTCACCCCATTGTGATTGCAGCCAATGTGCTGGATTCCTCGGCAGTTGTACTTGCAGTAGTTCGTTGCACAGGCGACGCCCAGGCAAAGCCCAAAAATAATAGGTACACAAATATTTAGCATTGCAGTGAAACAGCCCAGCTGCAGGCAGATCGATGACTGATCGCTAACTTTGTTTCAACAGTCGCGAATGTGACGGATTAGTTAATGTGCGTGACGTGATTTATCACAGATTTAGTTCCATAGGCGACGCCAGCTCAAAGAAGAGATCGACTGCTACGCACTCATACATACATACATACATGTAGGGCATACAAAAAAAAAAAACAAACAAAATTCTTGATTGCATTGATTAGTGTTTTATTTTTTATTAGGGCTGTCAAAGACGCAGCTTATACGTTATAGACTTCTGCCACCTTGCAGAGACCCGCATAGTTGACATTCCTGCCGGTGGTGCAGCCAGATGCGGTTGGGCCACTCGCATAGACGGCTTCGCCAATCCAGTTGGTCGCGGCGTAGTTGCAGGCCAAGAGGAAGTTATTCCACATGCCATTTTTGTACCTGGCAGCTGCACAGCCCACGGCAAAGTTGTAGTCCCGAGCCATGGCAGTGAAGTGACCAATAGCCCTGGAAAGAGTTCGAATTCGAGATGTACATGCATAAGAAATGGAATTGTGACTGTGTCCATTGATGGGCACTTACGGTCCAGACCAATTATTTGGATAGCGTCTGATAACATTCATGTTGGCATCCTTACGCTCATTCCACCACATTTTGATGGAGGAGGTCAACAGTTCCTGGATGGTGCGAGCTGCTCCATTGCCAGTGTAGCCTATCACAGCCAAGTTCTGGCCACTGGCCTTAAACTTGTTCGTGTTGTGGCAAGCGTCGTGCTTCATCTCGCACTGGCGCACATTGAAGGCGGCCAGCTTAGCCAGCTCGGGACTCCAGCGCATAGTGGCCATTCTTCTGGCTGGCTGGTAATTGGGCAGCTTGCCCAAGGCCAGATTGTTGCGCCTCACGTTGTGCAAACGCACCACATGTTGTCTCTGTGCCAGATTCAGTTCGATGAGCTCGGGTGCCGGACTGGTCGGACACTTGGCAGCCCAGGCCTAGGAATGGGTTTATTAATTATCTGCCATCATGTCGACAGGATTCGAATTGACCTACCCCATTGTTGTTACACGCAATGTGTTGATTACTTCCACACAGCCCAGCGGTACAGTAGTCTGTCTGTCCGAGGACCCCAGACGCGCCAGCGCTCAATAAACTAAAGGCTAGAACAATTCGAAGCATTGCAAAACAGATAACTGTCGATGTATCTCGGCTCCGGGCTTATATACGAAACGCTGAAAAAACCATTTATTGCCAAAAAAAAAATATGGCAAGGCATATATTATTTGCTATGTAAATAGTTACTAAAAAGTTAAGTCAACAAGCCAAACGTTTGTCCGGAACATACGTAAGAAATACCTCCAACTGTGTCTACCACACATCTGGATTTCATCGATGGATGACATCAAACACAATGCGAATGCTATTTTGCCACAAACCCCAAAACAGTTGAATTCAATCTTCATTACAATAATTACTTTACAAGAAACAAGTCCGAAATAAAAACAGAAATGCTTGAATCACTCCAAATAGTCTTCCTCAGTCGTATGTCTATGATGTAAATTTGGTGTATACCAACGTGTAATTTATTAGATATCTGTAAATCTAGAAGCTGACCAAAGCAACATATATCTTAGGTATCTTTCCTATAACTAAGAATCTCTGGATAGACCGAAAATTGTTTGATAATAAAGAGAAATAGTTTGTTAGATAGATTGTTTGATAGAAATAGATAATTGATAGATTGCGAGCTAAATAGATATATGTAATTTTTTTCATAGCTTAAACTGAAAATGTATATAAAAGTTTAGAGCTTTCATTTATAATCATCGGATAGCTCTTTTTATAGACCTGCACACTGTTTATTAACATTATATCTTGACTCTCGTTATTATGTACGCAATATCTTGTTGTTTGCATCGCGCAAATAATAACAGAGCAAACATCCTATCAAAAGAAAAGCTAATCTAAATCGAAAACAGTTATTTTTTTTCTTAAATATCTTTTTGATCTGCGTTTAAATCGGCGCAAAGGTGTACATAATACGGAAGTATCTTAAGTAACCTAAATATTAAACAAATATGACTGTTTAAAAAAATGCCATATGGCAATCAAAAATCTGACGGGAAAAGTTAATGGGCCACAAAAAAAATTTTTAGATTTTAAGCAATCACAGAGGTGAGGGCCAATCAGAGCAGCAAAAAATTTAATGGATATACTTGAATCTAAGTGAAGCTCCGTACGTCCCTTACCAACAATTTTGGCAGCCTCTGCTCACATTGAAAAACAAACTCCCCGCTTAGCAATAAAAATACTTGAGATTTGTAACATATTTGATATGCTGGCATTTAGTTATATGTACTTGTAAGTTTTTATTATGGGTCTTTAATTGTTGCCGTACTCAGCTATAAGTAGTTTACCGTTTGTTTCTCTTCGCACATAGGATTCGTATATGCGTGTATATAATATTTAAAATTTATTTGTTCTTTATATATTTTCCTCTTTTTTTTTGAGTAGATTACATGGATATCATTAATCGGTACAGAAAAATAAATATCATGCATCCAGTGTTGCATCTCTTTTCTCTACTTTTGTTCTCTGTCTGTCTCTATTTCTCTCTTAGCTTATTACATCTCTATGGTTCTGTATATATATGTATATATATATTAGGTATTTATTGTGTATATATTTTTGCGTAATTTCTCTTTGATTCTATATATTTTTTTTGTCTGCATAAGTTGATCTGTGGGCTGTTTTTTGTTTTCGTAGCTATTTGCTTCTCTAGGTTAAATTTTCATTTGTTGTTACATAATTACGTAATATGTATTTTTTTTTTTGCGCTCACTGGCGTTGTCATAAATTGTACACACAAAATATGGGCTTTTTTTTTTGTTGTATTCTAATCTTTGTTTTGTTTTGTTTGTTATTCCTTATTTATTTATTATTTTCTGTTTTTTGTTTTTTATTTTTAATATCTGTTCTAGTTGTCTGTCAAAACAGCTATCAACAATATCTTTGAGTTTCCCATAGAAGGAGTGAGTTGAGTTACAATACATTCAAAGTTTATAATTGAAAACATTTGATATACGGTTATATATGCTGTATATTGAGATAATATGCACTTATATACATAGCTACAGATTACACAGATTTGATAGCTCTATAGCAAATGAGAAAAGCCTTGCATGAACGAAATTCGAGAATTGTGCAACAGCCAACAAAAAATTGACTTTAAGCCTTTTCGACTCTAAATACAAGTATATATATATATA